TTACCGGGAACGCCGCAATGGGACGAATTTAAGGCTACTCTGGGGATACTTGAGTCGTCTCATCCCGTCGCAAGAGTGGGTCTGAACACGCTGAACCGGCGGAATCGGCGAAGTTGCCACCAGAGTTAAATGTCACAAGTTGTTTCTTGTTTCACTTTTGATTTGGCGTTATCAGTCCATCTCTTGCCCAGATGTCGGGTCGTATGAAACTTGGCAAGAGGAAAGGACTACATCGCAGTGGGCCAGTTGCAAACTAAGTGAACTGACACAGAGAGGATTGCGGACCTTTATCGTTTTATAAGTAAATACAGTTGCATACAGAGAATGGAAATTTAAATGGCATTATCTAGCGCCGTCCACATTGTTCATGATTGATGAAGATTGGACTGACTTTATCAATTATATGTGGATTTTGTGTGGATTTTGGAAGAATAATGTATTTCCGGATGGTTGATATAAAGGCTTTAATTTTCGGTTTGAGTGATTCATGTTGAAGAGGGAAGGCTAGTATCCCACTTCTTTGTTTTTGCCAATAAATGAAAAACATGAAAAGAAATCAATCACAAGCAAGTGTACATGTAATAGACTCTGGCATTCTCGGAGCCTGTGATCCATACTGATTTTGCTCTTAATATGTCTGAGATGTATTCAAATCATTCACTGATTTTTTTGTGTTTACCTGATAGAGAAATGAAATCCCAGCGGGACGAATACAAGTTGCTGTGAAATGTTGATTAGTGATCAGATTGATAAAATCATTATTTACGGAAAGCCTGATGCCCGTGAGATAACGCAACATAATGTTTTGTTGGTCTAATTTTCCGAAATTGTAATGAAGAACACCATCAAACGTGTTCTATTTCTTATAACATTAATAAGCGCAATGAAAGTAAAATTTATTTGGGAGTAGTTTCTGGATATTATTTTACAAATAAACGCTAAATGCAAATGAAATCACCGAGCACCACTCCTGGGTCTGTTGAGAACAAGGCTGAGGGACAAGAGCGCTATCAATTAAACAATGACTGGGTGTTTCACAACTTGTCAACACTTAAAATTTAAACTCCTTCATTTAGTTTCAACCAAATGAAATTTAGGACCTGAAGTACAAGCTTTCTGTTGAAATTTTATATCAGAGCTACTTGGTCTAAGATCTTCGTTTTCAGCGAAATTGAGGCTTTGTACACATTTGAAATCACACAAATTTACACCAAGGGGTCTTTCGACCTTAATTCGTTAAACTACGCTGTGTCTGGATAATTTTGCTCGAAACATCAAAATATATTCATATATATGTGAAAAAGGGGCCATAGCAAGTGCAGTATGGCTTGTTGTCCAAAATAACGATTCCTTAAAAAAAGCCGAACAGTTTACTTTCTAATTACACTGAATGGATTTTGTTCGATTATATTATTTTAAGTCTGAACTCAAGAAGAGCTTGTTACCGAGTAACTGAATAACGTGTCACAAGGATCTGGTCATTACGTCGCGAATGCGGCACCATTAGTAGCGACAAAACTCTGTTGAAAACTTCCAGCCCGCAAATTTCAAATTTTTAATAATTACTATGTCAACTAAAAACTAGCTCAATTGCCACTGTCAGTTTAATAGTTTAATGGGCAATCTACGTTAAAAACGCTTGTGGCAATATTTACCAGTTGTATATTGGCTATTGATTAAGTATGTTACAAGTGGCCCACACGTCCTCAATAATTAAAGTTGTGTTCCGTGTTGAATGAGTGGTAAGACATACCTGAATCAAATCAGCACGGCGAGGCCCAGGCATTGGTCTCAACGATTGGCTTGGTACACGAAATCAGAGGAGAACTTGGGAAGATAATATGGGCCGTTCCGGAGGTACGAAATTGGGTTAGATCTACGGTGAGGAAGATTTGAGAATGCAAGCAGCGGGTGAGACAACGAATTCCTGCAGGCGACCTCGGCGACTGTCTTAGGTAGCATCGATTCTTGTCTCCACTTCCGAAGTCCTAGCCTCCACGTAATGCAATATAGCGCATATCGCACTCGCTACAACCGCAACAAAACACCGCGAAGTCGCGCTTCCAATCAAACAATATTGAGTCTCTCCTGTCTAGGTACAAGAGTGCGACAGTGTGGCACAGCTATCATTTTTCTCGCGGAAAAGTAAGAATTAATTTCGGAGCGGTGAATTAGAGGGGAAAAAAGGCTCGCTGCTGAAATAGACAAGGAGGGGTAGTTGTCGGCAGTCTCGTGCGGTTGGCAGGGAGCGTGTCAAACTGGACTCCTTGAGGGACGCCCAGACTCGATTGCTTGTCCATTAATTGTCGCTCAGGGCAACAGTTGCATTTAGTTGCAAAGACCCATTTTAGATTGACTGCGCTGCCTGCCACTGATAGTCCTGGAGAAAAGAGCACGCTGTCCACCCTAACTCACTGGTCCATAAGGCTTTACAGCTGACGGCGTTTTCTTGGCAATCCCTCATCTGTGCATTGAGACACTTTCTTTGCGATTTTTTGGCACCTCTAATGACACACTTTAGGTGTAGAATGTCACAATGACTTATTTGTATCTCTAAGAAACAAAACCAGATATCGCCCTCATAATAATTTTTGCTATTGGAATTGCCCTGAGGAAGATATTCTTGTAACAAACGTATTCGCCAGTAAACAAATCAACCTCTACGGCGAATCATCATTCGAAAAAAATCATTCCATTTCTGCCCTTTCTTTTCAGTTTCATTAAACTACCATACTAACCCACTGATGTCACTTTCAGTGCTTTGAAACTAGCTCTTTCATCAATACATGAACCTTTGTGGTTTACGTGTTTATGCATATCCAGATTTTGATCCTCTGATGGTGTTACATAGACTGTGCTTAACTTAGTCCCAAATCCTCCGATTTCAATATGATTTTACATACACCCTAGGGGGTTTGGGTTATTAGCATGATAAGGTATTCGTCCCTAAAATGTGGAGTATTTGTTATTCCCCTTTCCATCGATGTACTCAAGCTGTCAGTTGTCAAAGAATCGGTATCTTTGGACGACTTTGTTCAAACACTAATGAGCGACAAACCATGCAGGGTAATCATGTTCAATCTGCCTACTGCGACCTGCAATTCATAAAAAAAACAGAAATGTGGTTTGCCTTTGCGCCTTTTGTTAATGTTCTTTCAATGAGCAATCATTTTGGCTGAACCACATGCAGCGTTTTAGCAGACTAAAATGATACAGCTAATACATTCGTTGTTTGGATTTTATTTCAGTTCACCGGCGAAACTGCTTAAGGAAAGTGATTCCCTCTATATACACTGAAAATGCCGCCATATACACCATATAAGGGGTGGTGTTCATGATAAAGATGTACGTCTCTAATGCGTATCAGAATCATGTAGAATCTTAACAGCAGAACTTCATATTTATGGCGTTAAAAATGGCTTTCCCTTTTTAGGGACGGGATCAAAAATACATTGACCGTTTACATGAATCCGCATGCGCTTCTTGCCGTTTTGCACGCCCTTCCGTTCACCCACGTTCCAAAGGGCACTTTAGAACGCATTCCTACACCATTCTCTGGCATGAATCATTGAGAGTGTATTGTTGTGTTAACTGGCCGTTCCTTTGCGCGCAAGAACGGCAGCGTATAGTGTTCCACAGCCGCCAAAATTGCGTCGCGTCGTGCCTTTGCGTCGTGTTTTATCTTGATGCCGTCGCGTCGTGCCGGCTTGTCTTGCCCTTGTATCGTGCCTTCGTGACGTCGCGTCTCGCGTCGTGGCGTCGAGTCTTGCCATTGCGCCGGTTGTGTCGCCTTTCACGGTATGGTTTTTAGGTAGTGTGCGTTAGGCCGTCGCTTCCTGCCGTCGCGTCGTCGCACCGTCGTATCGTGCCGTCGTGCTTCACTGTTTCTAAAAATGGCTGTTGATTACCTAGGCCAGCAAGGGCGTGTGTCAAGTACTGGAAAAAATGATTTCCGTGGTTAGGGTTTCACTACACCCGATAGAGGCCCGTAGAAAACAGTGCAAAATCAGACTTAAATAGCGCCAGAAGATTATGGCCAGAAGATCACTTTTCGTTTCAATGTTATAGGGGTTAGCCACGTGATTTTTTTTTCATCCAAAAGAGGACCGCAATTTAGGGCTTTTTGTGAAAGAAATATCCCAAACTGGAAACTGCCAGTCCCAAATTAGCGATTTATAGAAATATTTCTATGATCCCTCCTGATTATGGTATATCTTGTAAAATCGTCTTGGGATCAAAAATATTAATAAGCTCTCGCCCAGGAATCCAATAATTTGGTGGAATACACCCGTACGGCTTACAAAATTTGATCATGAAAAATGGTATCTATTGGTATTGAACCTAATTCCGTCTCTAAGGGTGCTCCCCTTTCCACCAGTAATGAGGCAACGGCGAGAGCACCATACGACGGCACGACGCGACGGCACAACGCCAAGGGGCGAGGGCATGACGCGAAGGCTGAAGGCCACGACGTGAAAAGTCGATGGCACGACGCGACGAGTCGATGTCACGACGTTGCGGCACAACGAGACAGGACGACGCGACGATACAACCCGACAGCAAGATACCAGGACACAACGCAACGACGCGACAGCACGACGTAATGCATTATACACAGTACAAAAGTACTGAGAAAGGAGGCGACGCCATGACGCGACAGAGCCGTCGTAGCGTCGCGTCGTGGTGTCGCGTCGTGGTGTCGCGTCGTGCTGTGGACCCTTTGCGTTGTGGCCTTCAGCCGTTGCGTCGTGCCCTCACGCCTTGGTGTCGTGCCGTAGCATCGTTCCGTCGTATCATGCTGTCACCGTCGCCTCATTCCTGGTGGAAATAGGGGACGCCCATAGAGACGGAATTAAGTTCAATACCATGACGTCGGAGCGACGGGACGAATTTTGGCAGCTATAGAACACCATACAACAAAGATACGAAGAAGACACAAGCTGTTCCTGAGTCTGTTGTTGGCTGTTAAAGGCGTTGATGGGGTTTGGTCCGATAAGATTTATTCCTCCCTCTTACGAACACGTGTGCTGACCCTTTGATGTACTGACTTCTTACATTTATACATTCTTGCATAAAATGTTACCTGAGGGATGAATATAAAAAAGCCTGCATGGTCAGGTTTTACTGTTCAAGGATAAGATAATATTTTGGCAGTCAGTATGCTGTATGGGACAAACATTTTCACGTGGTCGGCATGGAGTTGGGCGAAAGTGAGAGTCCAAATTTCGATAAAGAATTACAGATATGTTAAAGGTGTCTATTTTTGGTAGCATGAATACATGTTCCGGTGTGGGGGGAAAAACCACGTGGTCCGGGTTTGCTGTGAGATGTGGAGCATTGGGCCAGATTTGCCGAGAGACGGGGGCATAATAGTTTCATGGGTGAACTAGGAATCAAATAATGATAAGACTACGAAAAGGTCCAGTTAAAAAAGGATAAAATGCTCAGATGGGAAGGAACAATATTTTTGGCAAATTTGAAGCTGGAAAAAATAATGATTATGCAGTGGGGCATAGGAAAAAATAAACGGTCACAGGTGGTCCAGGTTGGGATAAAGTTAAAATACTGAGATGGGAAGGAACTATATTTTTTAATTTCAAATTGGAAGCTCAAAATGAAAAATATGATTATTTGGTAGGTTCAGGAAAAAAGAAGTCCAAATAGGACCCAGGTTGGGATGAGAATAATGGCTGAGACGGGGAAAAGTAAATATTTTTGACGTACGAAAAATGACTATGCGGTGAGATAGTGGGAAAAGGAAACCTCGTGTTGTCCGGGTCTGGATACAGAAATATTGAAATGGAAAAAAGCTTGTGCACAGGAAAAATCTGTAAAGTCTTTTTCCAGAGCACTAAAAAATCCTGCTTACATTAGAAACTAATTGCAAAAACGATTTAATGGTATTTTTTAAAGAAAAGACTGAACAAAGCCAGACAAGCTGAGACAAAATGATAAAAAACGCACCCCTGTACATTTTCAATGGCCCTTGCCGCCAAGGCCATTTGTGCGAATGGGTTACAATAATGAACTTATCACTGACAAAGTTTATAAGCCGAGGCAGGATGGCATGAGGCATCATTTCTGAGTGGTAAAGAAAGATGCCGGTCGGTGGGAAACCTTTCCCTGTACACGATTCATGCTGAAAAAGGGTGGGAACCCTCTTCGACTTGTACCATTATTATTCATAGAATTCCAATTAGGCCCATATTCAATACATTCACATAATTTAGGAATTCTATTACATAACATTCGTACAAGTTTTCAGAGGGTTTACATGTTTAAAGCTGAAGGAGACCCTAATAAACGATAAATGGAGTCAAAACCATTGCCGTAGTGGCATAAGCCAGTTACATCGGTGGGTTCTTCAGCGTTACTTATTACAACTCAGAAGTGCTTTACAAAGGATGGTTCTTCCACCGCTCTTAAAAAATGAGCAAAGGTAAAAACATTCCTCCAGTCTGCTTCCCCTTGGGCGAATGCTGTAGAAGATAATGCACTGCGAACACTGTGTGCCGAATAAATTGTGGCATCTATACCTGCTTCACGTAACACACATTTCATCCACCTAGCTAAGGTTGAGGACGTTACTGCCTCATGCGGTTTTCTTATTGACAGAAACAATTTTTCTCTTTGCTTTGAACTCTAAGGTCGGGGGGTGTAAATAGCCTTTCAGTGTCGTTGAAACACACAATTTCGTGCACTCTTCAAATTTAGGAAAAACTGTTTTGCAATGTCCCCCACCCTTACTTTTAGTTTTCAAGATGTCCATGACAGTTACGACACAAGACCTTTCGAGGAAATTAAAATACCTCAAATCAAGACACGCCAGAGTTTGTGAGCAATGGGCAGACACAAGGGCCATTAGAGTTAAAAGCTTTTGGCTCAAACTTAAAAGTGGGATTTCGGTGTTATCTGATAAGGAACTTAAACAATCAAGAACTGTATAGACTTTCCATATCCTGGAATACTTAGGCATGGGTACCGTTAAATTAACACTTTAAGCAGTCTTATTACCAAAGGGTGTTGGCCAACAACATACCCCTCAATTGTCTACCATATTAGACGAAAGCACCGATCTGTTAATGCTTATATGGAGGCGTAAGATTTCCTTTTGAGTGTTCATGAGCAAGGAATTTAATGACTTCCGCTAAAGCGGGAGAGAATGGATTATTTTGTCGTTTACTACACCAGTTAGACCAACATTTCCATGCTGGCTCGTACTGTTATTCAGTACACATCCTCCTAGAACTTGCAAGGATATTGGAAGCGTCTGTTGAAAAGCCTCTTGTTTGCCAGCGTTGCTTGAGATGAGCCACGCAGCCCAGCGTAGGTTTGGTACTCTGTGTTGGAACTGGCGCGGGGTACCAGACTGTCCGGTGTTAGGGTAAGTAGGCGAGCGATTTACATCTGAAGTAACTGGGGGAACCAGGGTTGGGCTCTCTAGATTGGAGCAATGACAAGGCATACCAATGCCCTGTCTCTGACTCTCTTGTCTAAAACTGCAGTGAGCAACAGAAAGGAGGAAATATGTAAAGTATAATATTCCCCCATTACAAGAAGAAAGCATCAATCGCCCATGGGGATCTGCTTTCCAGGAGACACAGTGTTCCAATTTATGATGGGTGTGTGATGCAAACAAATCAACATGAAATCGAATTGTCTTCCGAACAACAGAAGCAAATAGAGCGTTGGGGAGGCCAACCTCAGTGTGAGCCAAGGTTGGTGTTCCATCTACCGATGAGGTGGATAAGGGAAGGACACTTTGATAGACACACACCAAAACACTCGGTGTCCCTGCCTCCAAATATTGTTTATTCCTGTTGATTTTCTTTGATTGTTTTACAATTCCCCCCCCCAAAAAAAAATCTGTCAACAAAGACAAAATAATCAATAAATTTATTTATTGCGCGCTGAATATAAACTCAGTTACAATAAGGGTTTTTTTACATTTACAAAATTATAATACATTTAAATGTAGATGGGCACACAATAAGAATAAATCTTTGTATATCCTGACATCTCAAAGAGCGTACATAAAGAGCGTAAATACATAAATATAGCACACAATTTGATGTTTAAAACCACTCCCTACCGGGCGACCCGTTTTCGAGTACATAGGTTTTATATGCAGAGCCGGGCATCCGGGAACTGGGACAAAAGAGTTGGGCCTTATTACAAAAGACAGTGCTCAGCCCAAAAGACTGAGCTTGCTGGGCATTACCGACTTTTTTTCGCTCTCAATAGTGGAAATAATCCACTCTTGTTTTGAAACAGTATACCACGGTTTGAGGATTAGGAGCGAGCGGATTACCACGAGCGGACCAAAGTTCTCCACCACCGCAGCGATGAGCCACACAGCACCATTGCACGCTGATCTGGCCCCTATTGAAAAGAGGTCAGCAGTGCACTGTGCCGGTTTGGGAACAAAAGATTCTTAAGTAACACCGCACAACCTGTAGTGCCCCAAAAGTCCTTCATTTTGGTATTAACGGCCATTAAATGAAATGATGAATTTTTGAAGAATTTTGAAAACGGAAAATCTTGAAAATGAGCTTGCATCTTTTCTTCCTCAAGAAACATCCACCTGAGCAAGTGGTTGACATTCACCAGCTTACCTTGACATCATAAGGGGTGGTGTTTCATCAAGTAGGTTAAGTCAAGTGCTCCCAGTTGTATGAATATGACGTCTACAAGATTAAAAAACACAACAAATTCTGTGTATGTAATAATACATAATATAAGCCGACATACACATTTACTATTGGCAAACAGTGCGATAGAGGTTCGTGTATTTGGCCTATATATGCCACATGCAACACGGCCTACAGAACGCACGCAGTGTTTGACCACCCCATTCACACGCGCTACACACAGCATGTTTAGCTTTTCGTGTACACAATGGGCGAGAAGCGGCGTAATTATAATACATGAACAATGACGGCATGGTCGCCAATACAACAACACGTCATGCATGATTCAACTGCAAGACCATTGAAAGTCGGAAGTTTGCAAACTTATATGGTTCACGTTCCTTTTCTAAAATGACAAGTTCATGCACACTAACCCAACCAAGGTAATCTATGAATAATAATGCATCAGCTGGTTATGTGAACATAATGAAACACCAGCAAGAAGCAGCATAAAATGGAATCATTTTAGGAGAGAAGGTCTCACCTGGCGACGGCCAAGAGGACGCACTGCAAAGAGGCCGTTTGGATGTACGTGCGTGAGTGAATTTGCTAAGGCGTAAATATTCCGCCTCTCAAACTGTCTTTCGCACAACGATCAACGATCGTCGCCCTCAAATTTAGACTAAAAACATAAATATGAGAGTACTGGCCAATCTTCTCGATAATGCTTATCAAAAGATTACCCTGTTAGAGTGTTTTAAACAAATCTTTGATGAGTAATTAGTGGATCCTATAAGCATACGACCCTAGTACGCACAAGTTGATGTTTTGAATAATCATGTGATCCCCAATTTTATGCCTTAAACGGTGAGTCTGCTGCATATTATGCACGTAGAGTGTCATGTCCTTAAATAAACATGTTCGGCTGCATGCTCGTTTCCTCTTTACGAGAAAGGGAATCTGCCAGGAAAATACTAACGCCCACTAAAGGGGTTGCGGGCACACTTTCGACACACTAATCACAATAATAATCACTAATAATGTGATGTCATTCAAGGGTCTTACAGATTTTCTAAAAGTCCCATTGTAGAAAGGTACGAAACTGTTGTGCTATTGTCTGACTTGATCAGAATATGAACTTCATTGTGGCTACTGCATAGAGAGCACAATGCTTTGTATACTGCAGTTAATTCCAGCCTGTTGATATGGAAATCTTGCTGGGCAGTTGTCCACTTACCCTGGGAAAATTAACCGTCTCTGTTTCACAGAAAGCTCCCCAGGCCCCAGCCTGTCTTGCTGGCATCCACGATAATAATAATCAAGTAGCTCTTGGCATGAAGCACATCTCATCGCCAGCATCAAGCAATGGCACCCCCGACGTATCCGCGAGGCCATTGAAATCTTCAAGAACAAGACGGTCCCCCAAGACATCGGCTACAACATTAGTGACATTTGGCGCCCCCTTCTGTCCAACGGGTCCCCTATACCCACGGACTTCCAACCGGCAGTGCCACTTGGGTCCCCTATACCCGGCACTCTCTCCAGCACCACAACACCAACTGACACGCGCCTGTGAGCAGCCACACCAGCCCTCAACGCTGTTCCCACCTTCACGCTCCAGTACCCAGATAGCTGGGATCCCAATTCCCACGCGTCAGTGATCACCCACAGCATATAAGCAGCAGTGTTGTTAGATCGCGACAGTCCCGAAGACGGACAAGGCACTCTCGGTCTGAAACGTCAAGTAACCGGTTCTTTTCAGAACCACACATACTCAAAAGAGATATTTTCCACATGGTGTATCCGCAAATAATAATAATAATAAAGTCAATCGGACAAACTTTAATAGCTGATTTCACCTCCTTATCCTAGAGAGACATTTAACCACCACTAAATTTCTTGAATGATAGCAGGCCTAACAGCAATATTGCCATCGAAATTGCCTTGCCCTTTCTGAAGAGCATGAATTTAAGCTTATCTCAAATGGGCTAAAATGCAATTTTCTTGCTGGAAAAGCGTCAAAAGTTGAAACAATCATGCTTACCACTCTTACAAGATCGCGTCTACGGACAAAACTGTTCAAGAGTAATCAAGAACCTTCTGATTGTAACTTTTCAATCTTCCATTTTGGAACCTTGGGAGTCATGGCAGTTGAATCGAATTCAAAGCCAAGACAAGATATGCTGATTTCATTCGTGCAAGATTTGTTCCTATTGATAACGAAACCTGTTGACTTCAGTAAATTCCCCACAAATGTGGTATGTCTCAAACTTTGGTCAACCTAGGAGGCCACAATTAGGATGTCGTGCAGGAAGATAACCAGACGAATTCATTCACTAAAGCTGGTTTTACTATTTTGGTAAAAATGCGAGGGGTGGAACTTAGCCCAAAGGGTAAGCAAGTAAACACATAATATACATTTTCCCAAGAATATGTCAAGTATCCGTGATGTTCAGAACACATCGGTACCCAAAAATAGGCATCTGTCAGATCAATTGGTATGAGTAGATCATTACCCTGCATGATATCTTTCTCCAGTTTGATATGTTCTATTTTGATGTGCTCGTACCAAGCATCTCTCACATTTATAACAGGTCTCGGACCTCCGGATTTCTTTGGGATAACAAATACATTTGACACAAATTTGCATTCAGAACGGTGGATGGGCCAAATGGCCCCCTCAGTTTATCTTGAATTTCCTTGTGGATAATGCACTTTTCCTCATTGGGAAGGATATTTTCTGGAGGCCTTCAAACCTGAAGAGGTTCGTCAAAGAAATCAATCAGACAACCAGAAATTGTCTGCAATATCCATCTGTCTGAAGTAATTTGAGACCAGTTATTTTGGAAATATCTCAAGCGTCTGGTATTCACTGGACTACCTGATAAGCAAGAAGAAGGTATCGAAACATATTTTTGTTTGCTTCAGGGGCTGTATGGCATGATTCCTCCGGCCTGGATTGGGTATGCTTGCCCCAGTTACGCCATCTCCGGTAACCGCCAGGGTTGTAAGCGGAAGACGAGTGCCCGTAATTATGGCGGTCCTGGCCAGAATGTGATCGTCCTTGGGGTGAATCTTGGAACTTGTGAGGGTGTGGTTCAAAACGACGGTCTGTCCTCTTCGTTTACTGGCATAAGATCAAGCCAACTTCTGGTCAGCTTTAGAGGCCGCGGGTACTTGTTTCATAGAAGCCACTAGGTCCTCCCAAAACAACAGTTCAGAAACTGGACGTGCCACGACTTGCAGGCTCCCATTGGACGATCGCGTAAGTTACACGTTAACTTCCGGTTCCATGGTTCCATGTAAAAAGGCGATCAATGCATGTAACTTTAAGTGGGCGTGGTTTAAACTGAAGTGACGCCACACTTCCGAACCAGATAGCTATTGGACATGTGTGGGGGGGGTACACACAGTGGTTTCGTACTTATCTCCGCAAGGAAAATTGTCAAAGTCGCCCTGACCAGCGGCATGGGGAGAGCCGGCCACCACGTTACCGCCCAGCTCAAAGCTTTCCTGTAGGTCAAAGCAGGTTTCCTACTGACCAAAAAATTCATTGTCAAGGTAATTATGCTACATAGTTTGGATGTAGCACCATGGATATATCTCTTTTTGAGAATGTGTGGTTCAGTCAAAGTATTCTTGGGCGGCATATTAGCCGACTGTCAAAGCTGTATCGGGCTGTAGTTCCTTTTTGTCTGGTAAAGTGGCTGACAACTCTTGCATATTCGCAAGGGAGGACGATAAATGCTTGATTTCCCTGGAATTAGCTTGAAGCTTTGCCTCTAAGCTTTGGTTGGTTTGACTCCGATCTTCATGGCCTTGGCCTGGTTGAATAAACAAGTCAGATGGAGTCTTGAAGATCCATGATGGCTTTTCGCAGTGCGGTTGCACACGAAGAAATGATGCCTCATGCCATCCTTCCTTGGCTGCCCATCACGTGAAAGTAATGCAAACCTTCTGAAGACTTTTGAGAATGTTGTTTAATAGAATCAAGAAAGCATTGTGGGCTCACCCCAGGCATACACCACAAGCCTGTAGACTCCTATTGGCTAGACCCCAACCACTGCAGAGTAAGAAATTATTGAAAGATCAGTCACCCCAAGGAGCCCATATGGTCGCTATCAGGAACTGGGTCTCATTGCTTACAGACATGTGCTGACTGGTCACGGCTGTTTGGGTTATGACTGGTATTCGTGTACTTCCAGAGCAGCATAATGAAATGTAGATAGAAAGGGGACGTGAGATGTGTATTAGCTACCATAAAACAGTCAGGTTCAGGCATGACCGGGAACTGACCCGGTGACAAAAGTCTCCGCGTGGAGAAAAAGTCTTACTTTGTGGGCGTTGCTGCTCCAAGGGTACAGGCTGTTCGTTACCTTTTCTGTCGCCATGGCCAAATGAATTTATTAGTGAAAAGGTAAATTGACTAAGTGTCAACTAGCCTTGGCCAAGCCGGTCTCTCCGGTTTTTGTTAAAGGGCAAAAATCCCGGCTAACGAACAGTAAACAACCTGAGCTGCCATAGAGGACACCAACCGCCGTACGGCAGTACGGCAAACTACCGATGCTTTGCACACAATGTTTGTACTGCAAAGGGGTACACGTACTCGTGTATGTCACGCACGTCCTGTCTAAATGTGTTACGGACATCGGACCGATCTTGTGCATGAACGTTTACTGCGCTGTGTGTAAAATATAGAGCCTGAAAGTTTTCACCCCTGATGCCACGCTTCCGGAACCCTTAGATAGGAAAAATAACGTGCAAAGGTCTTAGAATTTGTAATTTCTTTTCGTTCAGGTACTTCTTAAAAATCCACCTTGTAAAAAGAGATTTGGAAAATATTTGTTTGTATATCAGTTTTTGGAACTAAAAAATTACTTGACCTTATTACTTGAAAAGAGAAATATCCTGCCAAGAATTGACCCACCCCTTCCGAAAATCTAAAATAAATGACGAACAGTGCAATACGGCGGTCTAGTACGCATATGAACATTTACAGTTTGGAATTTTTTGGTAGTTTGTCGGTAAAAGTCGAAATAAAAATAGATCAACACATTTCACAAATTGTTTGATTTATAACGTAATACACTTGATGCAATAATCTACTTTTACGAAGGATTTTAGTCTATTATTTAACGAAGGCTGATAACAACTGCGTTATGTCGAATCAACGGAACATGGAACCCATCGACTAAAGGCAATAATTTCACGTAAGCACGGGCAGTGAACAAAAATGTACATGAACAAGAAGACCTAGGTACAATATCGCCAGGCGTGAGAAGTTGTTGATGAAATTCGTTTTTACCCATCACCAGGTGATTTTTCCTAAATATTACTTGAGCGAGACAAAGGTAAAATTCCAACATGAGTGTTTCATGGGTTGGTTTGAGGTAGGAATTATTATTCCGAAAAATATCTCCATGATAGGACGGCCCAATGTAAAATCCCCATAGGCGGACCGCGCAAGGGCTCTGGAAGTTCGCCGAGTGACCTTCTACTTCCAGGCTCTTTTCAGGTACACAACTAGCCTTGGTCAAAGCGTTCGTCATTCGTCGCAGCGCAGCGCGCATCAGCCGCTCGATAACCTATAGTGTGAAGCTGCGTAGGTACACCCATGCATACATTGCAAAATCAAGGCGAAGAGCGACTTCGCGCGGCCTAACAATTATGCAAATCAGCTGAACCAGGACGAACGCCTTGGAGCGACGAATGACAAACGCCTTGGCTAAGGGTAGTACACGACACAAAACACGCATGGACATGTACACTGCGCGAGGGATGTTGTTCACACAGTCTCTGTTTGGGGATTTTTTATTGTAAATGTTGGTGTGGAAGGTAAAACTGTTCCCCTGGTATATGTGTCCCCCGGACAATTTTACCGCAACGCAACCCGGTAAAAGTATACTATAACACATTTCATGATCTACTGAAATCTGTGCCCCAGGCTACAGGTAAATTTGTTCCCCTGCCTAATGGTTAATTTGTCCCCAGCGTCACAAGTCTGTCACCTAGACTGTGCATCAGTTTATTTCAACTGTTTTCGCACAACGTTTATATTGGACAAGGAGGACTGTCGTGAACGCAGGCACTCATGGCGTCCGAGACGTGCACGCGTATGTTGAAATTGTCTTAATTTACTGTGCTTTAAGGTATTCCAGAAGCGCATGTCCAAAATGAATGAAAATAATGTATGTATGTTTGCAGTGTGCATGTGTCATGTCGCACATGGAAAGGTTGACCCTTTTTTATTGAACTTGCATGCACTCATATTTGTGCGTGCATTAATAAAGGAATAATATGCAGAACATAATCAAAATCCAGCCTTGGGCCAAAACTACATGAACAACTTCTTAAAGAGGTTCCTTACCTTGCAGTTTCAGCAATGTCTGCTATACACAAAATAATGCTGGAGTCTCGTTATATGAAAATCAGCGTTCAGCTCGGCAAAGTATTAAAAATGTAATCAGTCATGGAAAAAATTCAAATGGTTCTTCTCAACACCAATTTCACTATCGTAGATCCTGATGCACCCCTAAATAAGCTGATTTATACCAGGATTGTGAACGCTAAATGGCGATAAACA